TTGAAGAGACAGTAAATTGATCTCGTACGCTGATTTAAGTAATTTTTGCATTTCCTCCCAACTCTAGAAAATCAGAGGACGTTTTCATCTTTTTTTTTTCTCCCTGGCATCTCCATGATAAGGCTGTCACATTTTTGCATAAACTTTTATGGTAACTAGCAAAAAGCAACAAGGAAATGAAGCTGAGCACTTGCCTTAAGCTCATTGGTGTCAGCCAGTTTGGCTTTGAGCTCAGTGTTTGATTCTCGACTCTCGCTCAGCTCCTTCTGCAGCCTCTCCGCCTTCTTCTGTAACTTCCGTATGGTGAGGTTGGCCTCGTCCCTCTCCACGGCCAAGGCCGTGCGAGCCTGCTTCTCTTCCTCCAGCTGGGCTATTTTCTGCCGGAGGAGGTTCATGTGCAGTTCTTTGCTCTCCAGTCTTTCTTTCTGTGTCTTTAGCTGGTTTGATACAAACAGAGATATTTTTTTTAATAATAATTGAATGGTCAGTAAATATACATGAATTACTCAGATAACGTTGATCTTTATCCACACATCAATAAGACTAATGTCTAAACCATCAAAAAAAGATGATTGGATTCCTTTTCCTGATTGCATTTTTAATTCCTATTTTTCCAAGAATTAATTTTGTAGCTGCAAAGTCTGAGACAAAAGAGCCACAGAAAATGTACTGAGAAGTAGGCTTTCGACACCAAGGTCCTCCAACACTATGTGCATCATTAAAATTTTTTAAATTGCTTTTTAAATGACTAAAATGAGCTTAACAAGAGCACAAAATGATAAGGCAGAGAGAAAAAAAATCCTCTCCAACACCCCATGGCAACTATACTGGTTCTGTCTGGTCTTTTCTGAAAGAAGATAGGGTTTAAATTAGCACCAAAAGCCTAGACTAATTTTAATTCCTTAGAACCAGACAGAGTGGCACCAAACATAAGAGTTGATATATTTTTTTAAGCACTTTATTTTATTATTAGTTTCAAGTATGCAGTACATTGGTTAGACATTTATGTAGTTTACAAAACGATCCCCCTGATTGCTCTATCACCCATGGCTCTACACGCAGCCATTACATTACTGCTGACTGCGTTCCCTATACTGTGACCATTTCTGCTGACTACATCTCCGTCCCCATGACCATCTCCCAACTACTGATTTGTACTTCTTTAACTCTTCATCCCTTTCTCTCACTCCCCCAACACCCCTCCCCTCTGCCCATCACCATATTGTCCTCTGTATCTATGAGTCTCTTTTCAATTAGTTTGTTCTTTAGATTCCACAGGTTAGTGAAATCATGTGGTACTTATCTTTCTCTGTCTGATTTATTTCACTCAGCATAATAACCTCTAGGTCCATCCATGTCGTTGCAAATGGTAGGATTTCATTTCCTTTAATGGCTGAGTAAGATTCCATTGTATATATGAACCATAATTTCTTTATCCAATCGTCTGTCGATGGGCATTTAAGTTGCTTCCATATCTTGGCTATTGTAATTAGTGCTACCATGAACACAGGGATGCATAGATCTTTACGAATTAATGTTTTGGTTTTCTTTGGTTAAATATCCAGAAGTGCAATTGCTGAGTCAAAAAGTATATCTATTTTTAGTTTTTTGAGGAACATCCAGACTATTTTCCATAGTGGCTATACCAATTTGCAATCCCACCAACAGTGTATGAGAGTTCCCTTTTCTCTGCATCCTCGCCAACATTTGTTGTTTTTTGATTTATTGATGATTTACAGGTGTGCGGTGATATCTCATTGTGGTTTTAATTTGCGTTTCTCTGATGACTAGTGATCTTGAGCAACTTTTCATATGTCTATTGGCCATCTGTATTTCCTCTTTGGAGAACTATCTATTCAGATCTTCTGCCCATTTTTTGACTGGATTCTTTGATTTTTGTTATTGAGTTGTATGAGTTCTTTATATATCTTGAACATTAATTCCTTATCAGATGTATCATAGGTGATTCTCTTCTCCCATTCAGTAAGCTGTCTTTTCCTTTTATTGATGGTTTCCTTTGCCATACAAAAATTTTTTAGTTTGCTGTAGTATTCCCATTTGTTTATTTTTCTTTTGTTTCCCTTGCCCATGAAGATATATCCAAAAAGAAATTACTGGTACAATATCAGAGAGTTTACTGCCTACGTTTTCTTCTAGAATTTTTATGGTTTCAGATCTTACACTTACGTCTTAAATCTGTTTTGAGTCTATTCTTGTATATGGTATAAGAAGGTGGTCCAGCTCCATTTTTTTGCATGTGAAAGTTGATAAATATTTAAATAAGCAATACCAAGAAGATTTTTAAGAAAGCTTTGTTTATATATTTAAAATAGAAATAGAAGGAACTTGAAGAAAGTTTTAGTTCATTGGTGTCTTTATTACATGCCTGGCCTTTACCATCTACAAACCAAGCAGCAAATAAGGTCATCAAACAGCTCTAATCATTGACAATTAAACTTAATGAAGGAAATTATAGTGGTTTTTAGAAAAAGAGTAAGAACTCTAAGAGGGGAAAAAAATCCTCCTGGGCTTCACATGTCACAAGAACTAAGTGGAATACTAAGTACAGAGACCTCTTTCATCTGTCACAAATGTTAGGTATCAGAATCATGTAGAATTACAGGATGTAAGAACTGAAGACTTTCACATTTTCCCAATTACAGACTCTGCATTTGTAATGTGTTCAGAGATGTGAACGACTTACTGAAATCTGGGCCTGAGAATTTTGCCTAAAGGTAAGAGCAATGTCCATGCCCAGATCCATTTTTAACAAGGCCCTTTTAATATTGTTCTAAATAAACTCCCTTTATTCCCCGGGCTGTAAGACTCCAGGGTACTTCTCAAATTATGCTCCATAGGCAAAGACTCTTCTGTTTATCTTGAGGGATAGTAACTGTGCTCAAGTTTCTGCCTTTGAGCAGGGATTTTGCAGTGGTGCGACAAAATAAACTGGCCCTGAACCAGAATTTCAGTTATCTGGAAAGCAATATAATTGTGTAAATAGAACAAGATGTCTCGGTGTGGAAGACTACATTCTAGGAGTGGCTGAGGGAAAAAAAGAGGGGTAATAAAAAAATATAATAAAATTAAAAAAAGCATCACCCCCCCAAAAAAGCTCTGTGTATGTGCATGAATCTGTGTGCTTAACCTTCTCTTTATTTCTATCTGGCTTCATTGAGGCCACGGTCATTCAGGACATAGAATTCTTGCCTTCTTCAAATGGTCTTGCCCATGGTAGTCACATCTGTATACCCTAATTTTGCAGCTAACCAAGTAAATTTATAAATTTTTTGTCAGAATTTAGAAGAATTTCCAGCTGCCCATATCAAATTCCAGCTCTGTATAGTAAATGCAGTTTGGATTCACGGAATTACTGAGTTCTTTTGTCAATTGTAATCAGCCTTGATTGGATACTTGTACCTCCAAAACCATGATCTCTGCTATTTGTAACACTATAAACTCAGTATAGCTTTACATCAGACTCAGCATGTTATATGTTTGGTGCTCAGATTAAAACAGCATAAGAAATTATCAATTAATTTGTCTATTCTTAATCCTGTTTCTGCCCCACAGAAGATTTATAATACTATTTTGTAATGATTAAATGAATGAGTACAATGGGTGACAAAACTCATATGAGGAAAATGTTCTTTAAAAAGAAAGATAACCAAAGTTATACATAAAAAAATTAAATAAATAAATAAATAAACTCCCTTCCTTGAGCTGCTTCATGTCAAATTCCACTCTATTGCAAATTTACACTGGTAAGTTCTATACACCAGTGATTTTAATAATTACACAATATTTAAGAAGAAATAATGTTAGATATTGAGAAAAAATTCAATTATCTGAAAGATAAAATTCAATTATCTGCAAAAAGAATTGTAGCTCAATTTAATGTCTCCAATGGTAACAGGGGTTGTCTGCTTTCTTTTATAAAATATTCCCAAAGACACAGTAAATGGAGAGGAGGTCAAATGTGAATACAGCAACTTCTATGAGCCAAGAGCTCAAAATGTTATTTATTAAAAATTTACAACCTCGTGAAGTCAGTATCATGCCCATCTTAAATATGAGGAGATGGTGACAGAGAAGTATGCGATATGCCCAAGGTCACACAACTTAGTGGAGCCAAACTGAGAACCCAGATGTGACTCATTAGATAGCCTGCACGCTATAATTCTACTATAGAATTTTCTCCTAAGAACTATTATGAGGACGCATCTGTGTTTTCCATTTTCCTTTTTTTCCCCAATACCAATAATTACATAACTAATAATTATATTTTTATCTTTTTCATCTATTCATTCATCTAGTCTAAACTGTTTCCAACTCTTGAGTGAGTGAAAAGCATGCTCTTCTCCTCTCCCTACTTTCTAGTGCAATAGAGCTTATAAAGGCAAAGACTTCTAGATGTTCCCCATTGTTCCTCTTCTATAAAACAGAAACAGTCCATTTTTTAGGTAGGCAAATGGCTAGCCAGAGTAGACTACAGTTTCAAGCCTCCCTTGCAGCTAGGTTTAACCACCAGAACATATTCTGGCCATGGGGTATAAATACAAGCTCATGTAGCAAATTCTGAAGACTTCCTTTAAAGATAGCTCGGCCCAGCTCTTTTGTATCCCTCTTCTTCATGCCTTTTTCTTCTATAACCTCTCCCTGGAACCCAGTTATAATGGTTCTAGGCTCCATTTTGAACAAAGAGGATTAGGACCACCCTAGGAATAAGAGATTAGTGGGCCAGAATGAGTCTGGTTCCTTGAAAACTTTACAGAGCAGAGCTGCCACACTAGTCCTGAGCTGCTTACCTCCAGGAATTTATGTGAGAAAAGAAAAAAAACAAAAAAAAACTTCTACTCCTTTCTGCCACTGTTACTTTCAGTCTCTATTACTCACAGTCAAGCATAACCTTAGGTGATCCACTTACCATCCCTTCAGACTTGAATTCGAGATTCTATATACATATTTTTATAGCATGTTTCCTAGCCACACTGGTAAATACGGTGAGGGTAAGTTATATTTCAGTACTGAGGTTTCTCAGAAATTCCGCCACTCAGCATTAGCACATTTCAAGCCTCCCTACCTTTCTCTGTAAGTTGTGGGCAATGGTCTTGTTTTCAATGACAGCGTTGCTCTCGAGGCGGACGAGCTGCTCTGTGCGAGCTAAAACTGCATCCAGACGCATGTCGAAGCCAAGCTCAGCAGCCATCTGGTCCAATTTCATTTTCTCCGAGAGCTGATCCAGAAATTTAAGATACTAAACCCAAGCACAAAAGTGAAAATGGGACACAAAAATCAAGTTAACAGGCGATCTCCCAGAATCCCTCTTTTTCTCCCAAGTTTATTGGTAGTTCTCACAAACCCGGTATGAGCCCCGCCCCTGACTCCAGCATTTGATAATGAATTCCTGAACCACCTGCCAGTTCCATGTCCTGCTCTTTGTCCAAATTCCCTTGACTCTCCTGGTCAGTAACCTTGACATTCGATCTAATATTATACACTCTTCTTAACCCTGCCATATGACAAACCTACCTGCTCTTGAGTATATCTCTATCTCTCTGCTTTGCTACATGCTGCTGCAACCATACCCCTTCCAAGCTACCCAGCCCCTGGCATCCACTCATCCACACCTTCTTTGGCAATTATTCCCATCTAAGTGGGCCCTGGCTTCAAGAGTGGAAAATGAGAACTTAATGAGTTGCCATATTACTCTTCTGGGATTCTACAGATCACTGCAAAATCAAAGCTCTCCATACAAATAAACTTGGAAAATGTTGTTGTTGTGGTTGTTGTTGTGGTTGTTGTTGTTGTTGCCGTTTTAATTAAAATGCTTTAGAAAACGTCTTTAAGAGTTTTTCATGTATCAGAGTTAAAGGAACAATTCTAAAATAGAGCCGCATCAGGAAAGTCAAGACTCATATTTTAAACAGATTAAAGTCACAAAACTGTTCTGGGATCTCCCTCCACTTGATTGATTTGTGGGGCCATGACAGACGCAGATCAACACTTACTAAGTGCTTGCTGGATAAGTAAATCAATCACTGAGCTGTCATCATTTCATGATTTGGCTTCTATCCTTGAGATTTTTTTTCTCATCGCAATATTTCGTCTATCTGGGGTTTAAATAAGTTTAATTTCCTGTTGACTGAAGCATATCATCTTAAAGCTGGAATTGTCTATATTTTAATCAAGATGAAATTTGTAAGTATACATTTTCCAATTTTGCTAAAAAGCATGCATAAAATTTAATCTCGTTTTTATAAGTCACGGGCATTACAAATGTCTCGTTGTACTGTGCTGCCTGACTGCAGGTTGCTGTCGCCTCGGTCATCAGTTTGTCACTACTTAATGCTACATCGGCTCTCCCCGGGGGATTTTCATTTCTAGTCTGTGTGAGTGCAAGTGAAATAACCGCTGTTTTTTGTATTTTAAGTAAAATGGAGCTGGTACCTTTCATGGGAAGGTACCAAAGCCCCTTTTACTATTTCCCGTGTGACCCATCCACTCAGCATGTAAGGATCCACAGCAGGGAAAAGGGGATTAAGACAACACCCAGCCAAGACCCCACAGAAGTGCTTATTTCAAGAATCTTAGCCATGCCTCAGAAACTAGGGTTGCTGGAAGGATTACTGTATATTTTGTTCATCTGAGTCACAGTTTAGCATGAATAGATTCTATTCTATTTGTGTAAACCTCAATTGCCCGTATTTAAACTTAAACTTCGCTTTTCAATTTTACACGCCTACTATCCTTACTAGAACACACATCTCACAAGTAGTTATCTATGGGAAATTCACATGGACACAATCAGTTTACATAACTTGCTTTCATAACAGAGAGTTATTTCGGCACCATCGCAATTAAAATTAATGAGTCATTATAATAAAGAAAGGAAGAGACACCAATCTACCTAAAATTCTTGCCTTTGATATGTTTCTTCTATAATGTAGATAATATTTATCGATTCTTTCCTAAGCTTTGAAGAAACCCAGAAAAAAAATTTCCCCCGATACCAATAATTACATAACGAATAATTATATTGGAGTTGATTGGCGAAAATGAACATAATAGGGTGATACGTGTTGTGACAAATGCAGGCATGTGCAGCATGAAGGAGAGCTAAGTCTCTTCGGGAAGACTTCAAGAGGAAGCGATATTGGAACTGAGTCTCGGAGGGACAGTTATTACCCAGTGAGGGTAAAGAGAATATTTTCTCAGGAAGAATAGCCATGTATAATATGGGATGCCAAGGGGGCCCTCTTTTCTTTGGCCAGCCAACTCTTTTTTTTACAAGTCTGAATGTGGGTGTCTTTGGACTCTACGATCACTCACCACACATTCTACCAGGGCCCTGCTCATCCTAGGAGGCCTCTCACTTGGCCACCTGGTTGGAGAGATTACAGGTGAGGGGAAGACTGGAGAGAGAAACTGGCCAAGTCACAGTATCTTCCTGCAAAAAAGGAATCTGTAGCTGATCCTGAAGGCCACAGAGAGCCCCTGGCCAGTGGAAAGATGAGGAAAGCTAAGATTAGGCATGCATATTATTAAGACCTCCTTGGCAGTAATGCAAAGATCACTTAGAAGGTTGTTTCAATAGTCCATGAAAATTATCATAATGTTCTGAATCAAAGCACTGCTACTAAATGTAGAGATGGGGGTGGGGAGATATTTGAGATATATAAAGGAGATGGAATTTACAGTGCTTAGGAACTGATTAAAAAGAGAAACGCATTGAGGAGACTCTCCAGCTTTGGCTTAGGCAGCTGGAGGCAGAGGACTCCATCGTCAGTGAGGCAGGAGAAGGGCAAATCTAAGGAGAAATAATGATCTTCATTTTGGATATGTTCAGAGCAAGGTGTTCATGGAACATCTAGGTGGAGATGTCCAGCAGACGGTCCAATTTCTTCCAATTTACTATACTTAGGTGCAATATTTCCTTTCGAACTCAAAATTTCAACCAACTCACTTTTTTCAGATATCTGACAGAAAACGTCCCTTCACCCTCCCAAATTTCTCAAATCTATCTCTTCATTCACAAAACCACTACTCGATCCAGACCCATATTATCTTCTAATCTGAACTATTCCAAGAATCCCTACCTGGGCCCCTTACCTTTAGATCTAGACCCTCAGAGCCATTCTGTGTTCAGAGAAACCTTTCTTTTCCTCAGAAACCTTCTATGGCTTCCCATTACCTGCAGGATAAAGCCTCACATAATTCTCCTGACCTACTTCAATTATCTCTACCTGACTCTGAAGCCACCTGCCATTTCTGGCCTTTCTAAGTGCCACGTTCCAGTCCCCTGCGCCTTGTCCCTTGGGCAGTCCTATCACACCTCCATTCCTTCATCCTTCATGCTGTTCCCTCTGCCTCAAGTCCCTTCCCCACCTCTCTGCCTGACAAATTCCCACTCATTCTTTCAAGCCCCTCACAAATGTCACCTCTTGTGTGAAGACAGCTTATTTCCTCTCACGCAGAAACTGGAAAGAAGTACTTATTCCTTAATTCAAGTTCCTGACAAATTTTATACCTATTTTCATTAGAGCATTAATTGTATTAATTGTGTCCTGATTTGCCCATCTCATTCACTAGACTAGATTCTCCACAGACACCTTTTAAGTTTCTTTGCATATCCAACCCTCAAAGCAGGCACGATGCTTCTTTGAATTTTTTAAGAACAGAAGAACAAACATGAATGAGTTTCCAGAGAATGGATTTTCCAACCTAAGAATATTTTCCATGCCAAATTCTGTACCTATGCTCTCGATCCCGTTCGTCTCTTGCTCTCTTCCCCCTAGGGACTCCTGAGACCCACAAACACGTGCCTGCCCTTTCCGCTCAGTAAAAACGATCATCTTTGACCCTGTTTTTCACAGCTCCAGCTCCATGCCTCCTTGCTCTTTGGTCACCGGACTTCTTCTAAGTCTCTGTTCCTTCCCGTCTGAGTCGCCCCTCAGCCCAATGCAAACCGGCTTCTATTTTCCATCGCTCCACTGAAATTGCCCCTCGGAGGTCACAGATGACCTTCCGGTGGTCAAATTCTCTTCCCAGTCTACTCTCCTTCTCTCTCTCTGGGTTATCACCACTGCAATCTCAGCTCCACAGTGACATCGTGTCATCTTTCCAAAATACTGTGATGTGCTAAGTCACTTATGACACTTTATATTCTGCAGAATAAAGACACTCGATCTTCATTATCCAAGCCATTCCTGTCTTCTCTCTTGCCACAGCCCCACCAAAATGTCATGTCCCAGCCATACAGGAATAACTACTTTGTGTTTCCTGAATATCTGATGCACATGTAAGCTTTCGAGCTTTTGTTCAAGCTGTTTTTCCTGCAGTATCTGCTCCTTCTCTCCACTAAAATTCCACTTATACTTCAGAGATGAACTTAATCATCTTCTCCCTGTAAAATCTTCCTCTTACACAGAAGTTATCACTACTTTCGCTGGCCTCCTATAGCACTTTATTCATCAATACATCTATTATAACACTTATAACCTTATATTATGGGAAATTATTTGAATGTCTGTGTCCTCTATTGAATTATGAGCCATTTAAGATCAAGAACTGTGTGTTATTCATACCTTACCTTCCAAACCTTCAGGTCTCACATATAATAGGTGTTCAGTAAATACTTGTTGAGTTTAATTAGACCTAATTGAATTATTAGATTTAATATGAATCAAGAAAGCTCCAAATAATAGGAAGAGACCCCAACACAACACCTATTGTTCCCTGAAACTTACTCATGACTCAGAACCAATCTATCAAAGTACTAAAAAGTTCAGAATATTTTCAGGTAACATTTTATACTCCAACAGACGTTTCCACCCAAGACATGCGCTCAGGTTATTACTTTTTGTTTCTCAAAATTCAAGTTGTCTCGCAAAACATCTCCAGAAACTAGCTCTCCCTCCAGGTGCGTCAGCTGATCCTGAAGAGTCTCCAACTTGTTTTCTGCTTTCTGGGCTCTCTGTAGAGCTTTCTGATGAAACCCAGACTCATTTTCCAACTGTTCAGCAAGCTCAGATATTTGAGCTTCAAGCTGAGAGACCATCTTGAAACAAAGAAACAGAACAAAAATAAGACTTGTTTTAGATGCAACAAAGTGTTAAAATCTAGTGCTCAGTGCAAGCGACATATTTATAACACCAACTTCCAGATTCTTTGTCAAAATTAGGTAAAAAACAGGTAATTGATAGATGTATTTGCCTCTGCTTGAAATAAATCTGCATTCATTATCTAATAAAATGTTTTATTGGTATTTTTAATTTTTATATAATTCCTCAAAGAAGTTACTCGATAAATATTTATGGATAACATCGACTTTCCCATAAGACTGCCATTAATTTAGGAGTCTCAAAGCTTAATTAGAAAAAGAGTTCAGGCAGAAAATACTTTTAAAATCTATAAAAGTGTCATTCTCCAGAGGAACTCCTCCACCAAATATAGTGGATTAAGGACTATACAGTGAGCTAATCTTGATAAGTAACCTTGAGACATCATCGGTTCATTCAAGTGCATAAAGATTTTTTTCAAGCTCTTTTCCAGTCTTCTGTTGCATATTGGTTACTTCTTCACTAAACTTCAGTGGTGCTGTCCTTGGGCTTCGTAGTTATGTAGCAATGTTATCATTTTATGGCACTTGAAAGGTCAAAATTCCTTTAATATGGTGACTCGAAACAGGGCCAATGGCAACATACGAGCCAGCAGGAGAACCTGACTCCCACATCCTCTTCTGTAACGGGTATCACTGCTTCTCCATCAAAAGCACCAAGACTCTCACGACCCCCTGACTGGCCCAACGCTTCCATCCTCCCCTGGATAGCTCTCTTTGTCCTGATCTTCCTTTAAACCAAGAACAGAAGTTTACCAAAGATCTCAGGTACACTTTGAGCATATTCATATTGATTCTAGCAAATCCAGTTTTTCAGAAAATGTTGAATTCAATAAAAACACCAAGTTGGAGGTGATAAATTTTGTTTCGATGGTTTATTTTGGAAGAGGAAAGGGAAAAAGTAGTAAATATTTATATAATAGTACCATTTTCACACAAGTTGAAATATCTTGACAGTTTGATTTTCAATCTCAGTTTTAAAAAAAAAAAAAAAATTTCTGTTTGCCTATCTAGAAACAACCATGCTTAAAGGCAAGAAGACATTGAAGCTGTCCTTAAATATTTTGCAAGGATAAGATTTATTCTGAGTAGCCTCCAGAGCTTAAATCGAGGACCAACAAATATAAATGAGAAAAAGAATCCCACTTCCATGTATGGAAGAATCTTCCCTTGGTCTCCACAATTACAAGGTAATACCTGCCCATTGTAAAAGAGTCACTAAGGATGAAAAAAATATAAATCAGCAAAAAATAATAATAATAATCCCCATGCTCCTACTACCCAGAAGCAACAGCTATGAACATTTTCTAATAATTTACAGCTATGAACAACAGCTATGAACATTTTCTAATAATTTACTTTTATGCACTGTTTAAATATAGTTGAGATGCTATTCTATTTCCCATCTTATGTTTTTGTTTTTATCTCACATGTTAAGCGTCTTTCCATGTCAGGTAGTAGATCCCCAGTCACTGGATGGTGGAGACTGGCCGACCATTTGTCAAGAATGTTACGGAGTGGGCCGAAGTGCTACAATCAGGAATGTTAGGCTCCTTGATCTCTGAACTCTCTAATCCTGTGTGTCTATGGCTCTCCAGGTCCCAGGCCTATATTTGTATTAATTGTATACTTCTGTGGGTGCTTGAAATCAGATATTTGATGGCAAGCTCCTCAGTGCCACATCCCAGGAATTCTATTTCTCAAAAAAAAATTTAGAATTTCATTGCAGACTAAAAGGCTATGAGAACACTCATTTCATATTTCGTGCCCTTAATATTCATTAGTAATGGATCTGATCTTAACGTAAGAGAAAGGTATGCTTGTCTTGACACAACCTACAAAGTAACCTACAAAACAATGGCCATCAAACAACATCCCCAAGATACTGCCTCCTGGGGGACTGTTTAATGATACGGCACGTTTCTATGCAGCAGGAAATGTGGCTTCACATTTGACTCCAAGTAGGAAATGAGTCTTTCTACCAGAAGATCCTTCAACACTTCTCCCATCGCACAGTTAACCCAGAGACAAGAATGAAACCAAAGAGAAAAGAGACACAGAAAACCTCAGCTGGAGAGACGGAGATCTCATGGTCATTTAGCCTCAGTAGAGATGGAGAACTCGTGGTCACTTAGCCATGGTCCACACTGGAGCCCCTACCAGAGGAGAGCAAAGTCTGCTGTAGAAATTAATCGGTAAGGACTCCGTTTTGCAGGTGACGCCTGGAGCAACTACAGGAAGCTAGACTAAGGGAGCGATAATGACCCTGAAGGAAGAAGCAGACATCCTAATGTAGACCAGACTGTGGGACGGGGACTTTGGTGTCAGATAAGCCGGGTCTCAGATTCCTACTCTACTATTTACCAGCATGTTAAATGAAGCAAGTAATTAACCTCTCTGAGACGCAGACTTTGCTATGATGATTAGGTGAGCCAATTTAGACTATTTGAGTAGTACAGTATTTCACACCCAATGGAAGTTCAACACACTGCATCTATTTTTATCATCGGTATTACTACTCCACACATGGGTTCGGTCAGTCCTATGCTTTTGTCATAAAGAGTTAAAGGAGCCCTTTGAGACTTGTCCTTGGTCATGTTTCTCAAACTGCTTTCAGCCCATAGAGCCAGTTTTTCAACTAGAAGTCTTTCTGAGAGAACAAAACGTGAGAGGGTCCCTCTTGCATCCTCACCCTGTCTAGACCCGTGGAACTGGAAGACTCAGCAGAGTATAACTTTTAAAACCACCAGCATGTCAAGGGGTCAAAATCTGCAGAATCTACCAACTGCCCTCCCAGGATTCTGGTGTCAGGGGAGGATCAAACAGCTGAGACCCTCCCCGTATTCTTTGCATCACAGAACTGAGCTGCATACGCTTATTTAGGTCTCTGTGCATTTGATACCACCAAGTTTTCTCAGAGCTAAATTTACATAAATGTATTCAAATAAATGCGTGTCCAATCGGACTCAGTTCTTGGGAACATCAAATGCCAGCTCCTGGATGACCACGCGATCCCGCCAAAAACTGTAAAGTTGAGTTGGCTTTTTCACGTGAGAGGTCTAAAGAATCAATAGGCATTTCTTTCTTTCTTTCTGTTTTCTTCTTCTTCTTAGTATCATCTGTTAACATATCTCTGATATTTTGTGGGACAACATGTGCCAGAGATTTTAACCCTAAAAAGATAAGAAATGGGGAAAGGGGCGAGAGATTGTAATAAAGAATACCTGCCTCAATTTTTAAAAACAAAAAAGGCACTGAAGTAAACTACACTTCAAACACAAGCAGCTTGATTTTTGGAAGGGAAGTCATAATGCCCTAAAAGAATTAAATCACTTCCCAAGGACAAGTTGTTGATTTCACCAGAAGAGGCACTTTTGCACTAAGATTAAACCAAATGGAAACACGAGAGCTCTAAACTGAAGAAAGAGCCACTTGGGTCACTTAAGGACCGGTGCCTTTTGGACATAAACAACTCTTTTCTGATTATTCAAGCTATAATTTTCACTTAGGAAGCATATAAAATAAGTTATAAGGTACCAGGTATGACAGAAATCAAGTTCTCCTTCCTTCTTGTCAGTATGTGTGGCCAACACTGTTGACTAACTAATCCCACCCTCTCCACCTTTGTGTGCTATAGATTGAATCAAGTCCCCCCCCAAACAGATATACTGAAGTCCCCCAGCACCTCAGAATATGACCTTATTTGGAAAAAGAGTCTTTATAGAGATAATCAAGTTCAAATGAGGCCATTGTGGGTGGCCCTAATCCAATAGGTGGGTGCCCTCACAGACAGGTGAAATTTGGACACAGAGACACACACAGAAGGAAAATGATGATATGAAGACAGAGCAAACATCATCCATAAGCCAAGTGCTAGCTACCAGAAGCTGGGCGAGAGGCCTGGAACAGATTCTCCCTCACCACCCTCAGAAGAAGCCAGCCCTGTTGACACCTTGATTTTGGACTTCTGGCCTCCAGAACTGAGAGATAATAAATTTCTGTTGCCTAAGCCCCATTTAGCAGTACTTGTTATGTCTGTCCTAGGACATGAACACACTGGAGGGGCTGGGAGGGCTAACATCTCTATCCATTCACCCTTCCCAATGCCCTTATAGCCAGTGTGACCTGTGACCGTGATACAGAATTCTGGATAATGAAACGTCAGTGGAAGTTTGCTGAAGCTTCTTGGTAAATATTTGGCTTAGTAGGTCAGAGGATTATAAGCAGAGCAGAATGAGAAGATCAGAAGGGAGAGTGGGCAAGCTGAGGATCACACGTCGGGTCCTTTAGGGCAGCTGTCCCCAACCCCCAGGTTGCACAGCAGGAGGTGAGCAGCAGGCTATGGATCGAAGCTTCATCTGTATTTGCAGCTGCTCCCCAGTGCTGGCATCACCACCTCAGCTCCACCTCAGATCATCAGGCATTAGATTCTCATAGGAGCACTGGTCCCTGGTATGAAAAAGGTTGGGGACCGCTGCCTTAGGCTGGGTCACCACAGTGCCCACAGAGCTGCCAGACTAAGAAACACTCCGATGTGGGAAATAAAGTCTTACATGTACCTAAAGCAGAAGGAGAGAGTTTAGGCCTAAATAAATGTTTATGAGCTTGTAGCAATTTGTGTTTAATTTAGAAAATGACATAGAAATCAATCGTGGTCACGTCCTCCCTGTATTTAATCAGTTCTCATCCAGATGATTAGCCAGTTAGAAAACATCTAAAAATAAGATCAAAAAAATTTTTGCCTCAAAATTCTAAACTAAGTCCTGAAAAATTTGCAACTTTTTGTCATTGTGCAAGAAGTAATTATTTCAAAAATACCTGTTACAAGTGTCCTGAAATTTCAAGGTTAAATAACATCTAAAGACTCATCTAGAATTCCCAGAAACCCGATGGTAAAACATTCCTTTAACGGAGCAGTTTTCAGCTAGGGGTGGTTTCACGTCCCAAAGATGGGGACATCTTTGGTTGTCACGAGTTGGGGGGAAGAGGAATGCTACCGGTATCTAGTGGGTAGAAGTCCAGAGATGCTGCTAAACTTCCTACAGTGCACAGAATGGCCCCCAAAACAAAGGATTATCCAGCCCCAAATGTCAACAGTGCCAAGGCTGAGAAATCCTGCTCTACGTTATAGCAAAGCTTTTAAACAGGAATCTATGATTTTGTTATAAGCAGAAAAGCAAGGAACGAGTAGAAACGACTTGCTAAGAAAGTGTAGATAGTGACCTGAACATCACTGAGAATTGTAAACGCAGGAAGGTAAAAATGAATAGCAAAGGGGTTAACGAGAAAAGCAGTGTTCAGTGAGTAGGAGTTGATGTGAAGCGGAGAATTCGCCAGACCCGGCCCGAATCCATCTTTGGGCCTCCACGTGGCTATTACTCAACTGTTGACTGCGTGCTGAGCCATGGCAGCTGGCAGGGGTATGCAGCCTTCGCAACAAACACGTTCATCAATTTGTAAAGCTTCCATTCTTCAGAAACATTTCTAAGATAATATATGAAATCCATTTTCTCCTGATGTTACTTGAAGATGAGTCACACAAGATGCCAGCTATATGCTTGATTTCAAGCTTTTAAATAGTGAGAATGGCTATTGAAAAAAATTACAGGGTAGGAAAGGCAGACAAAGGCACTAAAAAGACTCTGAATCATTCTAATTTTTATGGGAAGTGGGGGAAGGCCATCCAGCTTAACCAATTTACATCATTTCACTTTAGCAAATAAACATATACATCATGCTGACAATTTTATGCCATGTTTCATGGGCTGGAATTAAAATAGTTTCAGGAAAACATTTGGAAAAACAGAAGAGGAAAGCAATAAAATGGAAAGACAAAGAATCATTAGCTGTCGAAGTACATCTCTTACTGTTCAAGGTAAATAAGTCGATGAAGTTTTTCTCAGTCCTGTAAATAATTTCCTTCCCCAACCCAGTACCTACGTGTGTACTGAATCACAAGCAAGTCGAGTTGCCCGTACGTCTTGCAAGGATGAACATTCTATATCCACAGAGAGAATCCTACACTGGACAAAGGAGTAGCTAGGGTCGCTCCCAAAATACATGTGAATTTTGGAGAATTATAAAAGGGAATTTGAAATGTTTTTTTCACAAAAGGAAATTTATAAATGCAACCCTGCACTCTGAGTTAATGATCACTCTGAGATTTTCAGAAACATTTAAAGATGGAAACATGTGTTTTCTCTTTTTGAATAAGCATGAACTCAGTAGAAGAAACAGTAATGAAACTGTATCTAAAATTTGGATATTATTTACTTTAAAACCTCAGTAATTTGGACTACAATAATTTGGATCTGTTGATAATTTTGAGTTGGGCTGAAATTGATTCGGCTAAGCAAAGCTTTATAGGACATGAGAATTATTAATAGTGTAAACCAGATAACAAAATTAAACAAGCTTCAATCATATGTGTGAATTAAATCATTTTCTCCACTTGCTAAAGAGGTCCCCTAAAAGATTGTTCTAGGCACCAACGCCTTATGAAAAGGAGGAAAGAGGGAAGGAGAAAGAGAAGAGAAGCAGGGGCAGCAATAGTTAATATTTATTGTTGCTATTTGTCAGACAGCATGTGAAGGACTTAATAACAATTTTTTTTTTATTTAATGCTTACGATCAACAATGACCTTGAGAGGCAGATACTGTTACAGATCTAGGAACCCTTCTCTGCAACTCCAAAATCCAAAAGGATCTGAAAATGGACAGGTGTTTGTTGTAACTTGTTGACTGATAAAGCTTGACCTGACCGGGTTTGACAGCGAACCTTGGCCCAGTGACGAGAGGCTTCTCATAGTCTCGCTGCGCCGCACATGGTGGAGTTGTTCACGGGCTTTGCTAGGGAATGATGAATGTGGTTGATCATCAGGTATTGCCCCCACCCCGCTGAGAAGGAATGTGTAAGATTACTTTTGGTGTGCTTTTTTACCTTACTGAAAAACTCTGAATTCACAAACGCATTAGGTCCCAGGGGTTACAGACAAGGGGTGTGGGCCCTGGACTGTCCCTGTGCGGCAGGCGAGTCAACAGTCTCAGAGGCTGTAAACTCAGGAACCTGCCCAAGGTCGCACCTGGAGTGAGTCAGTGTGCAGTAGAGAAGGGTTCAGCCCGAGAGGTCTGACTTCGGAACCCACCACGTAGTTTGCTGTCGCCTGAGTGACTCTCCAGGCTTTGTACGTATTATAAATAATTGTGAGAAAACAAAACCATGTTTAAATGATACTTATTACTACCTCAGGTAACTCATGTAGGGAGTATGCTAAATGAATGAGTTTACTGTCCTTAGGAAACTTATAAGCAGCATCACTCACTCACCCTATTCCGGCTTTCCTCTTGCAGGCCCATTTCTCGAATCGTCTCCAAAATGGCCTCCTCCGTGGACTCAGTCATGCCTGGGCTGCCCCTGAGAAGGGTCACAATTTTCTCCCTGAACGAGGAGTTCTGGCGTTGCAAGGCTGCAGCTGCATCCAGGCTAGCCTTCAGCCTCTTCTCAAACTCACAAGAGCTTTTCTTCAAGAGGCTCAGCTCCTGCTTTGAGGCATCCCAGACCCGCTGGCCAGCAAGCAGCCTTCCTTGGAAGATCTTCACTTCCCTTTCGAGGCCTTCTTTCACCTCTATGGCACTGAGTAAGTCCTAAAATAATTACAGGAAGTGAAGACCAAAACGTTAGTAGCCAAAGAGGGACACCTACATTTGCTTTTCAAGGAGTGAGGGTTAAACGCTCATTACGTTTTTAAATCTAAGTTCCCTATCGTCTCTTCATAAAGTTATTAAACTGTAAAGGCTCTGTCAGGTAAAGTTAGTTGTCTAAAAAAAGAGAAGGCATATAAAATCAGAGCTAGGAAAAAAAAGAAAATTGACATATAAGCCTTTTATATGTGGACCTGTGGAAAGAGTTAATTAAAGAAAAAAAATCGTTGGCCAAGAGGCTAGCAGACTCAATCCATAGTAGTACTATATGTTTACAGAGCCATGTGTTCTCAAGCTTGGTTTGCAGGGAAATTGATTTTGAATAAACAGTAAACCCTCAGTCCTAACTAGACACTAAAAATTATTTGAATAAAGATGTCTCTGTAATACTATGCTAAATAATAGACTAGCATTCTCATAGAAACACCATTGCATAAAGGAGAATGAGGTCTTTCCTTCATTATTCATTAACTGTGTTTCCCCTTTTCTCATAAAGACAAACTAAAACTAATAGAATCTGAAGGAGCAGAAATAACTGGCCATTTGGTAAGTGGGAGGATTACAAGCAGGGTGAGATAAAGTACTATACGAAGAATAATAATTTGAAAGAATATACTATATACTATTAGGTTCACAAAATCAACAAAAGTCATAGGGAAGGTTACATGTGCACCTACTTCTAATTACCATAATGTAGAATGGTCCAAAGAAGCATAAAAGAAGCATCTTTAAAATTCATTTAAAAACAAACAAACAAAACTTAATAACATCAAGTTCTGAAATACATGCATTTACATTAAAAAAGAATAAGCAGTTGGTTAACCAACACAGCTACAGTATTGCAGCCTAGTTAACTGATGAAAATATTTTGTTTTTTATTTTAAAATAGGAAGTTAGGGTCAAAAATAACTAAAAAGAAACAATATCATTGAATAACAGATTCTAGTCTAAACTGGCCATTAACATTTCAGGCTGCTAGTTAAAATGCAATCATCCTTTTTGCATTAGAACTGGATCTGAAAAGAAATTTATCTCCACCAACAGCTTGGAGACAGGAAAAATGTTACTTAAAATGCTACTTCCTACTTTTTATAAAAAAGAGAATGTCTTACTTTTTTTCCTTTTGGTGATTTTTTTTTTTTAAATCAAGGGAAGTCTCAGCCTTCCATTTGAAATAAGAGTCATGGAGTGGATGGGTAGTTAGAGAAGGCTGCCCTTTTCAGAGATGTAATAACTAAACTAATTATGGAACCTATTTTGTGAAATGCTTTGCTTTTCAAGATCCTAGCGACAGCTTCGTTTCCCCATTCCCTTTCCAAACTAGTCCCTTTTACAGAGAAGCCCCACTAATGTTTCTGATTAAAATATAGCCCTTAAAGTAAAGAGTCAAGGACCCTTTATCACAAATACAATATTTCATCACTTTACAGATTTCTTTTCAGATAGTAATACAATAGCTGCTCAATAACAGTAACCAGTATTGGCGTTGGTGATAATAAATTGGGGCCATATTTTATTTAAAGACGACAATCTTAATGTGTGGTTAGAAAATCGAGATCCTAAATTGGATGGTGTAAGGATGAAAATTAATTCTAATCCCCTCAGAGTTCTAAAACCCTATAGAATATTACATATTAATTTTTATATTGAAAGAAAGCTGCTGCTACAATATAGAGGAGTTTCCATGGCCAATAGAGTGATATTTTTAACCAAGTATTTACAGAAGTTCCTGAAAATACCAAAAAAAATATATCAGATGCTTGAGTACTATAGACTCACTATCTGGAGTGAACTAAGCCATTGGCAGCTTACACCACGAGACCAATAAACACAGTAAAAATATTTCAGCTCTGAGGAATTTCTTCCGCTCAATGTGAGACTGCTGTCTCACTGCCTTAGAGACAAGGGCCAAAACAGTTCTCTGCGGAATCCGAAGCACTGACGCATATCTAGTAAAGATCAGAAAATTCGTTTTCGATCACAGCATACAGTGGCACATGGCAGCAGGTCAGATTTCTTTTCTGGACGTGTGTCAGCCCGGCGAACTACATGATGTTTCTCGTATGAAATGCAGGATGGGGGAGCCAGTGACAAGGCCTCAGGCACGGCTGCTCCCCCGCGTTCTGATGAAGCACTTCAGAATTCAGAGGCACTGAGCCGATCTGCTGGAAACAGCTGTTCTCAGACTGCAGATGCAATGACCTGTAGAGCTATCAGGAGGAAGGGACTAGAATGGAGTCGGTTGCATGGCTACCTCAAGGATATACTGAAGTAATGTGACGTTGGTATCGCTGGCCAGGCCCTTGCTGTCAGACCACGCTGACACCTGGAACAGGAAACTAGTAGCTCCCTCTGAGCAAAATCAGGGCTGACCTCCACAAAGGAAATCACATTTGCAAATGAGGTCAGGCCCTACAGAGAGAGGGACAGGCATCACTTTACGGAAATTGTTTTCGATTAACGAATCTTTAGATTCGGTCCCACTAACGCAACAGATGAATAATGGCTCCTTCGAAATTACTTTTAACGAAAGCAATTGTAAATAATATGATTAAGGCATTCAATTTAAGGTTCCCAATTAAACGCATGTCTGCATTAATTCCCAAAGAAACACATCAAGTAATCTAACCATTCAGAGGTTTGTGTTTTTAAAACAGTTGATTCCTATTATAATAGTGCTATTATAGAGACTTGGATATGCATGAAATCAAATTGCCTCTCAAAAATACAATGACTAATTATTGTCAGGGTGGAGAACCTCTGGCTTGAACTTAATTCATCAAACCTTAGACAGATTTTGTGAAATTAAAAACCAGTGGTTACTTCTACCTACCAAGTTAAGAAAAACAAATAAACTCAGAAATTCCCCCCAAATAGGCATTCTCATACATTGCTGGCAGAAGTGTGAATAGGTACAACAGATATCTATTCACACCAAAACTATGTAACAAAATTTAATATGCACATATCCTGTAGCTTTGCAAGCCAGTCCTAAAAAAAAAAAAAAAAAAGTTACGATAGATTACTAAATATGGAAAATGACGTATATGCAAAGTTATTCAATTATTGTATAGCAAAAGATTAGGTATTACACAAACAAATAGGAGACATTCATCCCATAGAACATTATGTAGTCTTAAAAAGAACTGAGGAAGCCGATATGATAAATATACTGATAGGAAAGAAGACTCTCCAAGATAGAATTAGTGAAAAAAGTAAGGTGCCTAACCTTGTGTCTAGTACCATTTGTACCCACAAAAAGAGAGAATCTCTCTAGAAATCTGCTCAGGCAACTAACTACCAATTCTGACCATGTCTGGAAAAGGGAACTATAGCCGATGGACGGAAATGGAAGATATGGGAAAACGGTGGCGACTCTGAAAACACCCGGGGAATTTTGGTCCATTTAAAGTTCTGAGTCAATCGTCATGTGCGGGCACACGCATGCGCGTGCATCCACACATACACACACACACACACACACACACACACACACACTAAATTTAGGCTGCATTAGTAGAAGTAAAGTATCTAGAATACAGGAGGTGATGTCCTACTGTTTCTACTTCCCTTTAGCTAAATCAAACCCAAAGTTTGCATTCGGTTCTGAGATTCAAATTTTAATACGGATAAGACCCCCCTGGAACAGTGCCATTCAAAATGTGAATTACACGCTTGTGTACCTCCTGCAACTGTTTGTTCCCAGTCTCAACAAGATAATTTCAGAAATTAAGGGTAAAAGTTTCATAATTTCTATAGCAATTTGACATCAATTTTTCTGTTTACTATAACAACTTGTTCAATAACCTTATATAACAGTATGATGCTTATTCATTTCTTAAGTGAAAAGTAAGTAGCTTAGCATCTGCTTTCAGGTAATAGCATGAAACTTTGTGTGGATGGGAGCACTGACATCAATCTTTGAACAAGGTATGGACTGACGTGTAAGTGGCACATGCATGAGCTGCATACCTGTTGTGCAAATAGGAACATGTTACATGTGATACTTTAAGCTTGGTTTGCCAACTATAATCCAAAAGTGAAAAGTGTATAAAATCCAGCCCATTTCTTTAGTCAAGAGAATTTAAACTTTTATCAAAAGATAATTTAAATTTAACTATACCGTTGCATAATAAACTGATAAAACTGTCTCCAGATGGAGAATTGAAGATGGATTTTGAAAACACTTGTTTTCAAAACACTTGAATTTCAAACTTAAGCTGAATTTTTATTATTTTCCAATTTTTATTATTTTCCACTTATTTTGGATACAAGTTACAAATAAATATCTTGACTTGCTGAGATTGCTTTAAAACCTCTTCTAGTGTCAACAAACCTCTGTGAGATTCGTTTTCTACTGTAAGTGCTTTAAAAGCAAGACGTAGGAAAAGTTTAATATTCATTAGCCCCTGCAAGTAGCATTATCACTAATGTAACCAAGATGACATAAGTTAACATAAAGCGAGAAGCTAGCTCATTCTCACAACAAAACTTTCAATCAAAATGAGGAATAAGACATTAATAGAGGGAATTTTACTCATAACTTTTTGTTCAGGTATGATTGCAGAATGACAAAAAGCTATCAGTATGACAGTATTGTCTATATGACTCCTACAAACGTACTTTCAAAGAAGAATGCAAACAGTTTAATTCTTTCATTTTTCCTATGTTTATTCTGATTATTGAAATTTAATTTTACGTCTGTGCCTTCTAATATTTAAAATGGAGATACTTTTTGTGCCTTTTTAAACAATTTCCCTATTCATTTTCATGGTTTTACAAATGTGTTTGTCAGCAATGGATTGGAAATAAAGAAAAATCCTGATCCTTCCTACACTGATTCTTTGAAAAAGGCTGTACTAGAGTACGTTCAGACTTTCGGAAGGAGAATGGCGAAAGTCTTAAAACCATGGTCTGGGAGCAAACGTTAAAAGAACTGTAAC